AGTACTTCCTTGTACTTCCAGCCTTGGAAGGGTTTTATGCAGCTTTTATGTGGACCTTGTGAGTATCATGGAGACTGGGAGAGTCCAACAAGATTTGCTATAAAATAACAATACACAGGATCATGTACGTGAGCAGTGTAGGTGACAGTAAACAGAGCTTTGCAACCTCAAATCTGAGCCATCTCAGCCCTCTGCTTTCCCAGTCTATCACAGCTTATTTGCTTCTTCACCTGGTCTGTCCATAGCCTGTTTGGGATGGGCTTACCACCACTCTGTGCCTCACAAAAGTCTTTAATCCAGAGTAGGCATAAACAATTTCCCATAATTTAATGTAATTTTTTTTCAATTTCCAGTGCTTTAGGAACCATTTCTTTACCAAAACAGTCAGCCCTGAATTGCTGTATGTCCCTTCCAATTGAAACAATACAGCCTATTCTGTCTATTGTATTCTGGTTTGTCTATTCTAGCTTGTCTATTCTATCCTACTGTATTGTCTATTATATTGTATTTCAATGGAAAAGGACCTAAAATGATTATCTAGTCCAACTGCCTGACCAATTCAGGGCTGACCAAATTCAAGGATGTTTTTTACAGCATTGCCCAGAAGCCTTTTCAATACTGACAGGCTTGGGGTATTAACCAATTCTCTAGGAAGTGTGTTCCAGTGTTTGACCACCTTTTCAGTAAAGAAATGCTTCCTAAGCATATTTGATTCTGTTCTAACTCCCTGTAGGCTCAAAGAGAATGAGGCTCATGTATCTTGTTTTATGACTGAATTACTGCCAATGCACAAAGGAGAAGCTCTGAGTGTCATGGTGTCAAGGCCTGCCTGTGTACCTGGGAGCATGAGGGAACATTCCTTCTCTGAGAACTGGGGATAGAGAAGCCTGCAAGGAATGGGAGTAATAGGGCTTTTATGTGGCATCTATCTGTCTTGCCCAAAATCCTAGCAAGATATCCACACTCCTTTGCCTGCCACACCAATTCCCAATACTTCTCTTTTCCTGGGCTGCTCAATTTCCATGCAAACTTGTGCAGTTTGATCTGCACCTCTCTCCCCTGACAGATGGATAATGCTTTCCCAGAAGCAAGCATCTGTCCCACCAGTGCTCCTGCCAGCAGGCTGCATTTGGGAAGCCCCAGGGAAGCCCTGGGTGATGGTGGACTGTCCCTGCCTTTCCCCAAGCCTAGGAGCTCTGGGCTTAAGGATGGTGGAGGGCTTGGTCAGTGCACAGCAGCCTTTCACACAGACCTAGACAGTTTTGGCATGCTCCATTGTAAAGTGTCATGTTCCCCTTCCTCCCTGTACGCTCAACAGGCATCCATTATCCTGACCCCGCAGAGCCTGTCCTGATGCGCCTCTGCCAAGTGTGGCCTGGCAGCTCTAAGGGAACAAGAAACTCCCAAGCCTTACGTGCTGAGAGGAAACAATGGCACCAGGAAGAAATGAATTGGAGGCAAGAAGCAGGGTCTCTTAAGAAGCAAGTCTGAAGCAGCCTCAAACCTGTGGCAGCAGCTACTGCTGTTCCTTCCCGCGCAGCTCACAGGGAGGAAGGGATCGCTCACCTGCGGCAGACGCTGCCCACACGCGATAACCCAGCACACTTCCCTGCTCCAGGCTGGCAGCAATGGTTTTTCCTGCTTTTCCTTCCACTGGATCCAGCTAATGAGAGATCCCACGGAGAGAATCTCTTCCCTTCCTCTTGCAAGTACCTGCCAAGACCCAGGTGAGGCTCCCCTTCCTGGTGCCGCGGCAGCACCGAGGTCCGGCTGCAGCCCTCACCTCCTGCCCGGGCAGGTGCATTCCCCAGCTGGGTGGCGTCTCTGCAAACCTGCTGCTGCTCTTGGAGACGCTCCAGAGCCGCGCCGGTGTGCAGGCACTACCCCTCCCTCCCTCCTCGGGCAGGATCTGGCCTCTGGCCGCACACCGATCCTGGAAGGTGGCTCATTTCCTCCCAGCTGGAGGTGAAGGGGTGCCAGAGCCAGGGAGCAGCTCCCAGGCAGCAAGGTGAGAAGAAGCCTGCAGCTAAGCTGGAAGTGCTAGGGGATATTTGACACATTCAGCAGGTATTTGGTATTAAATAAAGTAGCTCCTGCTCTACTGTATAGGTTAGGGCCATCCAGTCGTATCAGGGCTGCCTCTTTCTCTGGAAGAAGCTCAAGCAGGCACTCAAGTCAGGAAAGATGTCACTGTCACCTCTCCCCACCAAAAGGCAGCTGCAGAACCCCCTTCCTGGGAGAGAGCAGCACCAGCAGAGTTTACCATGCTGCAGAAGAGCTGATTTCCTCGCAATCCGGTGGTAAAAAAAATGGGTAACTATTTTGAGAGTAATCAGGGAAACAGAAAAGGATTTATTTAAGAGTTGAAGAATAAAAAAAGGGAGTAGCAGAAATGTTGAAGTCAGTAGGGGAATGGGATTCTCAGACTGATCTGGGTAGGTTTCATGATAGCAGAAGGGATCATTACCGATAGTCTGAGCAGCTGGAAAATCTCCAGGGAAATGCAGGAAGAAGAGAACAGGACTGAACAACAGCTCTTGCCTGGCTAATGGAAAGGGAGGCTCAGTTATTAAGTCACATGCTACTTTTTTATCAGGCTGTGAGAAGGGAAGCTTAGGATATGCTAATCAAATAGAAACCAAGTAGTGTGACAGGCTCAGGAATTTGAGAAAAATCTGATAGGTGTTTCGAGACTTTTGAAATATCATCAGTCCAGAGGATGTTGTCCTACACATAGGAAAAACAAATGGTACGTGATAGTTTTTCCTATACAAACACCATTGGACAATGAGCTTGACCCTATCCAGAAAATCCTGGTTTTTTTAAGTTGGCCCAGTTAGCAAAGAAGTCATCTAAGGGGAAACCTTGTGCAGATAGCCATATAGTCATTTTTGAAAGTGGGCTGTAGCTTTATAAGAGTATGAAATGCTTACCAGCTCCTTTAGGGAGGTTCCAAAAAGAGAAACAGAACAATGCAGGTCAAGAGAGGATGAAAGCAGAAAATGTTGTTGGACCCTGAGAGAATTCAGACCATTAGCACACAAAACCATAATCCTGTTACAACTTAATTCTAAAACATTTATAGAGTGTATGTGTGGTAGTTTGACCTTGCTCTGCTTTTCCCAGTATAGAAGGGGCTTGTACATCTATTTTGCTTCCAGCAGGTCTGCTGAAGTTTGGTTGTAACACTCTGCTGTGCCTGATGTTTAATGCTCCCCTATACAAGCAATGTTTCATCTGCCACTAAGCCACTAAGATCAAGTTCAAAATCCTCTTCAGCCTATTCTGGCAGCTGAAGCTACCTAGGCTTCATCTGACAGGCTGTGTATTGCCTTTAAAATTTGCTAATAAGGGTGACATAGGGGCATATCTTTAAGCATATCAGTCACCATTTAGAAATAATTCACTATCTGTATAGGCATATTAGGAAAAGATTCTTCTTTTTCAGAAAAGTTGGCTGCATTTCTCTAAACCACAACTTTTAAAGCAGTATGTTGTATGATTCTAGCACTCAATTTGTCCTGACAGAGAGGGGAAAATTATACCACACCAGAGCCTAGCTAATTAAAATGGGTGTGTCCTGAAAATTTTAGAGGGAACTAGATTCTAAAATATTTACTAATTACATTAATTACATCCTCTTTCTGTACAGGAAGTATCAAGATGATTATATGGGGAGGAGAGGAGGAAGAAAGGGTGTTAAACTACCCCATTAACAGACCATTAGCTTCTTCCTTTTGCTCCTGTGAAACCTATGCTCCATAGAGGTTAAAGATGCAAAATGAAAAAAAAAAATAGACTAAAGAAACTAAATTCCACATTCATGGACAATGCACTCAGCTGAAGTCTCCAAAATCATTTGAGCTCATGGAACCATCTATTTTGCCCTGGTATTGCCCTGGAAGTGAGTCTAGTATTCCTGATGGTAATGCAGTTTACATGTTACCCAGCCCTGGCCCACCTTCTTCTGTGTAATATTATTAGGAGTACATTAAACACATCACTTTTCCACAACTCAGGATAGGAAATGAAGCAGTAACATCCTGGCTGTTGTAATACCATATAGTTCCTTGCTCAACCAGTAGCTCAATCTTCTGATAGATGTGAAATACTCCTCAGTGTCCTCAGTGGGACAGCGTGTCATGCACTGACAACAAAAGATGAAAAATTTAGGGTTCCCCCCCCCATTACTGAAGAAATTACTCCCTGCCTTTTTCTGTATATGAATACTTTGCAGAGTGACTTATTAGGAGAATTTCACTGAAAAACTGAACTAAAGGGATTGTGGATGTTGAAAAAAAGACAAACAAAAATCAATTTCTTGAAGTTATAGGAGTTATGACATAAGGTTTGGACTTTATTCCAGATTTTGGGAGTTTGAAACTGCCTTTTTTGTCCTGCTGAAATTATTGTAGCATATAAGGCAACACATCTCTAGACAGGAGGCAGAGGCTTTACCAAGGGCTCTAGCTCTTGTGTGCTTGAGTCAAAGGTTGCCCTCACAAGGTAATTGATTGTTAATCTGTGACTGGATACCTGCTTGGAATAACAATTACATTGGTCTTAAGAGCAGCTGTCTTTTGTATGAACATAGGCCATTTAATACTGGAAAATAAAAAGCTGATGTTGAATTTTGCAGCACAATGACATCAAATTAGAATTCTAACAGAAAAGGCTTACAGTTTGACTATCTCTTCTGAATTAGGACACATTAGTTTTCAAGAGAAAGATGAGTACCTAGCATGAAGGCCCAAAGATTAGTCTTACACTAACACAATTTTTTTTGGCTCCTAAATCTCATGAAAAGGGCAGATTTCAGGAAAGTAGAAGTGTTCAGAGCACCAATTGTTTCATAAATGCTTCTAGTGGTAGAGTATAGGATCAGGTAAGCATACTCTATGCTGTTGCATTTCTGATCTTGCCAGGAGGATATAATAACTTAAGGCATCCTTGAACCACGTCAGTGTTGCTGTGTCTTGTGGCTTCTTTCCAGATTCCATTCAGGAAGATTTCTGACCAAAAGAGGTTGAATCTGGACAGTTCAGGGCTTGCCCCTTCTCCTGGATTTGGTCTCGCAGATATTGAATTTCTAGCTGTTGCATTTCTATGATATTTTCACTTTCCATCTCTGGATTCAACCTCAGGACAGCTGGGCTGGACAGAATTTCACTGGAGGGAGCTAGAAGATAAAATAGAGAGGACATAGTACAGTAACAAAGGTCCAGCTCATACAGTTCTTTGGCATGAACAAGGGAAAGCATCTTTCAGGGCTGAAGGAGTAGATCTAAATAGTAAGAATCTGCAGGATTTAGCAGCTTCAACAATTAACATTAAAATATAACAGGTCCCACCAGGCAGACAAGCTAGAATGAAACACAGACAGTAATAGAAGTGTTCACCAAGGACAAAAAGGGCTTCTGCCATGAGTACTAACAATATGGAAAATATACAGGAACTATTCACCTGTGTCTTGAATTGCCTTTTTGTTCTTGTTTAATCTCAGTTCTGACTGGAGGTCGTGTACCTGTATGTTGGCCACCCTCAGTTCTTGCCGCAAGTCATTAATTTCCTTAATCAGACTCACATTTTCCTGCAAAAACAACATGCTCTATAAGGAAAAGCACAGGTACTCACTGGCTGAGCAATATGTATCTTCATATCTTTGAGAAAGACACTGGACAGTATAGAATCAGTATCACAAGCAGAAGGTGCTGGGCAATCAGGAAAGTAGACAACATTTCAGGTAAGACCACAGTAGATGTGACAGAAAATGACAGTATTCAAACCACGTTAGCTCAAAAAACTAATATTTGTTTTGCTTTTCTGACTGCAGCTGCACCCCAAGGTATCATTTTCCTTGCCAATCCAAAGGGAAGCTCAGGGCCTTCCTAAACCGATCCAATTAATTCAGAATTAATGTGAAGAATTCCCATCTCTCCCTCCCGTGTGTATTATTTTGCTTTTCATGTGTCATTATGTATTTGTTCACTTAAATGATCTTTATCTCCTTGAAATTATTCAAAGCTCTCAACAGTTCTGACAGACATCACTTTTCCACACTCCTTCCAAATTATTAGGAAATATATAAAGCATGTGGAGACTTGAGATACCTGCTGCTAACATGATATTATAAGGAAAAGTTAGTAATGTATTCATCTTTCATTCTTTTTTTTTTAAGTCAGTTTTTAGCCCATAAAAGTTCAATTCTCTAAGTTTTTAGTAGCCTAAACCATGAAGCATCTTGCTGAAGGAGCTGTGGAAGTGCCAGTAAATGTAATTTACCCATTGTTGCAACAGGTTCAAATACTTCAGCAAAACCAGTATGGGTTAATACTAGTGAAAGATGATAACACTGCTGATCATGATTTAGAAACAGGGGAACCATTAACTAAATATTTTTTTTCTGTATTCAAGAGAGTTAAGTGGAATTCTGTCTTTGCCTCTTACAAGGACAGTGAAATACCACATCAATAACTAGGGCAAATGTTAAATAGCTGTCATCATACTTGAACCAAGAATAGCAACTATTTCAGCTACCTGTGGTGGTTTTTTTAGAACTTTTGCAACACAGTGGCAATATTTAAAAAAAAGATAGATGGCAAAAAGGCGTGTTTAGGGTACCTCACAATACCAATCCCAAGCAGTAGTGGACCCACTAAAACAACGAGAGGCAAGAACAAAGATGAATGAAATTTTTCCATGAAAATGGTGCCCTCAAATCTTGTTTTTTTTACTTTTGTTTTAATGATAATTTTGGCTGGTAGAGATAATTATGTTGCCACAAAAGATTGTGTAAATCATACAACTCAGTTCCTTTGTGTATACTTATAGAAGTGCTGGCACCACCCAACTGCAGGCTGGTCAGTAGCAAAGTACAAAGCTCACTGCACCTCCCAGAATGTGGCTGCACTCAAGGAGTTCAACTTGGCAGCAATAGCTCAGGGCATGTGTGGCAAGATTATCAAGACTTCACACGGAGGCAACTACAGCAGCTGTGCTTTAGCTTCTCCTCAGCTGAAAAATCACTGAGGAGCAAGAGTGTAGGATTCATTAAGATCTGAACTTGTTGGGCAAGAAGAGTCCCTCTTGCAGTGGTTATGCTGGACTATAAATGCAGCAGGAGCTGGTGTGCTCAGGCAGCTCTGGAACTGCAAAATTTTGTTGAGTCTGACTTGTCTAGTTCAAGCCTTTAAATACAGATGAAATTTGACTTTATGCATTTATTCTAGAGTTTGATCCTGAAAGAGCACATGAAGAGAGTAACTTCCAATAATCAGTCAAGGTAATTTTATTTTGACCAGCTTTCAGGGCTGGGTCATAGTATTTCCCTTTAGGTATACTTTAGTCATGAGCACCTTCATACATTCAGCCCAAGTGATTACCTGCTGCTGTCAAATGAAGATCTTGCTTTTGATCTATCAGAAAACAGAATACAGAGTATCTTGCATGAAGCAATCTGGGCTATGTAGAAATGTCTTGTTTGGTTTGCTTGGTGCTAAAAGGCTGTTGGTTGACACTGATAATATTTTCCTGAAGAGTCCTTCTCTTCAGAGAGATTAGCCTTTAATTCAATATTTGCATTCTGACAGAATGCTTGCACTGCAATGCAGTGTCACAGAATGAATTAAAATAAATGTTCATGGGAAAACTAATTGTCATGGGATGTTGTGGCAAAGAACCAATTGTTTCAGAAAAGAGACTGATCAAATGCATGGATGATGAGGCCATCAGGTACAGTGACACATCATATGGATGCAATCTACAGTGTAGGAAATCTCTACAGTGCTGACTGTCAGAAACAGGTAGGACATATAGAAAATTTTATCCTATATGGGCTTCAGTTTAAGCAGCAGTACTTCAAGGTTATTCAGTGTCTCTGTTTTTATGTATCCAGAGAAACCATTACAAATACAGAAGGGGGGAGGAAAAACTAATAGTTGAATAACAGGCAACTTGTCAACTGGTAAGAATAATTAAAATTATCTTGACAGTTCTAATCATCTGTTGCAGCAGTCACTAGTGGAGTGTACCTATGAATAATCTCTCAAAGAGGAGGGCATAGCTCTGAAAACGTAAGCCCAACTGAGGAATAATAGAAATACAGAGCTAGAAGACTGTCAAGATGTCATTTGCTTTTTCAAAGCAAATCCTCACAGAAGTTTGTCTAAACTAGTCTTAAAAGCCTCTGTGAAAGACTGGAAGGCCATGATAATTCCTGCTGGCTGTAAAATCTCATTAATCTACTGGACTTCAGAGTACTGCTTTTTCTTTGAAGAAACCAGGCTGGTTAGAATCTTTGATATCTTCATCTTCCAGATGTTTTATTAATTTGGTTTTAATCATCATTTCATGTTAGGCTTACTGATCCAAGACATCAAGTATTATCATTATGAACACCATCTGTCACCCTATTCCAGTAAGGAAATTCTTCAGGTTATTTTCTGAACCCATCTCCTTTTGTGCCAAAGGAAGCATCTAACTCACAGAAAGAGTCAAAAAAAAAATTAAAATAGTGGCAGGGAAGAAGATTGCTGCTGTCTAGCCCTGAAGAAGCAAATTATGAATAAATAGCAAACAACAGATGACTTAGGAGGGGACTAAGATTTAATGATCCTGAGGAAGCATAATAAGTAACAATGCAGAAAGGGCTACTGAGGGGAAAAGGAAATGCTGACTGAGCAGAAGGAGATCTTGTTAAAAAGAGACTAGAAAAGCTGTCCTCCTAGGATATCTGGTGTGGGGCTCTAGGTCCTCCCACTCCAGATGAAAACAAATTGGATCTTTGACCCCAGCAGTCATGAGTTGAGTTTGCTTTGTAAGAAACAAGGATTCTGAGCAAGAGATTTTAGTACAAATATACATATTCCCCACATATTTCTGAACTTCCTTGAAAATTTTGGATGTGAAAAGCAGAATGCTCTTCTGAATTCACACCAATAGGCATGGGACTATGTGGACAAAGAAATTTTTTTTTTTTTTTATTTTCTTCCTCCAAAATTACTTCCTAAACATTACCTACATACCAGATACAGCTTGACACTCAAACAAAGGAAAATTGACTATGATGGCAATTATGAATACTGTTTGAAATAAAAAGTAAGTATATTAATGTCCTTAAAAACATCCATGCAACAGAAGTTCCCTATCTCCTTTTAGGGAGTGGGAGTTAAACAAAAGTATCCACAAAACAGAAGCCATTCAGAGATCTTGCTCTTTTTGTTCAGAAAAGTTAATGGAAGCACCTGAAAAATGTAGGAATTTCTGGCAAGAAAGCCAACCAAAACTATTTCAAAGTCTTAAGAAACCATAACAGTAAGGTTACTAAAGTCTCTTGTGCAGCCACTTCCTTTGTTCCCCCTCCATACCACAAGGAAAAGGCTTATTACCTGCATGATGCGCATGTAAGCAGTGTGGTGCATTTCCTTATCCTTTGTCATTCTCTTCCTTAAAACTGCCAAATTCCTCTCATTATACTCTTGCTGTTCCTTGTACTTCTGCTGCAAATCTGCATCTTCTGCTTGAGCCTCTGCCTGAGAAGGGACAGCATGCAACCTCAATAATTACACTACCAGACAAAGCCATGGGCAAGGAGAAGGCAAAGGTTCTGACTCACCAAGTCTGATTGATGCACATACTTGGTGTAGAGTTCACGGATACCATCTTTCATTTTTCTAGAATCGTTAATGAAGCTCACACAATTATGAAGATCTGCTTTAAATCGTTTGATGAGGGTTTCCATATTTTGCTTCTGCAAGAATGATATACTCACATTCTTATTTGGTTCATCAGAACATGTCACTGTGCAATTTTCTAGAAAGTCTAGTGGAACTGGTGAAAACTCTCATGTACTTTCTTCTACTTCACTTTAAAAAGAATTAATTAAAAACTCACTGGGAATGTGAGCACTATGTGTTGAACAGCAGTGATAAATTTAAAGAATAATAATAAACCTTTTATTACTTTTACACTGATATTATACTGACACCTAATGTATCAGTGCCAGCCTCCAAAGATGAAATCTGAAAAACAGTGGTTCATTATGCTATTGCCCACTGTCCTTTCCCAAACACAGAATCACAGAATATGCTGAGTTGGAAGAGACCCACCAGGATCATTGAGTCCAACTCAGCCCTGCACAGGACATCCCCAGGAGCCACATCATGTGCCTGAGAGCATTGTCTAAATGCTGTCCTACCTTCTTATTTAGAAACAACACACCAACAGTTGAAAAGGCAAGAACAAAACATATTGGACACATGCACAGACTGCTAATTTCACATCAAGATTGCCTTCTCATTCTCTCTTGGTCTCTGCCAGGCCTCTCTACCTGCTTCTTCACTCATGCACTGTCTGCTAAGCTCCTCCACCTTCACCTGCAGTCCCTTTTCCTCCCTCATAACTGACATGTTGTCAAACAAGGGGTCCTTGACTCCTCCATTAATGAGACCTTCCTTTATGTCATCCTACTAATGCTAAGTGGTATCCTGAATGCTGCTCCTGTTTAGGCCAAGTGTCCCCAGATTGCAGGCTTGGGCAGGAATAAGTTCAGCATTCACCTGCCTGTTCTGTTAAACTCAGGAGAATATGTGTTGATGCATAAATAACTGGATTTTTTTTTTTTTTTTTAAATACGAATGCTGTAAGCTGGTTGCAGGCTTGGAAGTTTTGTGTCTTTGTCGCCACTGACCAGAGACTCTCTTGGTCCTTGGACACAGCAGCCTTGAAGTAACTGTTTGCTCAGACTAATGCTTCACCAGTGTTCTGTCCTCACCAATGTCATTCTGTGGGACCTGCATGGAGGGGGAACCCCATACCTTTTCCATCTCTCTGTGCGCCTCGTGAGCAGTCGCCTTCTGTTTCTGTTGCAGTCGTGTGATGTTCAACTTCAGCTCTATGCTCTCCTTGCGGAATTGTTCCAGCTCCTCCTCCATCTGAAAGGAAGCAGGAGGAGGAAATCAGGGCTAAAAGGAGATGTGAAAAAATAACATAACAGGAAAACCAGAGACTGGAAATACAGACTTGAGGGAATAGTTCCCCCTTCAGGTTGAACGATAACATGAGAAACATCAATTTTGTAACAACACTGCCCTCTGTCAGAATATGCAGAAACCACAAAAGTGAATGTGCAACTCTGTTACAAAGTCACATTAATTTAAATTATGTGATACCCCTTAAATTCCTTGAGCTGAACGGGAGCTCTTCTGTTCCGAATAAAAATGGATGAGGTGGAAATGGACAGTCAATACTGGAAAGAGTAAGAATAACAATAACTAGAACCTGATACTGAAAAGAAACAAATGGATTGAAAGCTGTGGGTACATATGCAGAACACACAGGAAAAAACATTAAGAGTACTACAGCAATTATTTATGGCACAAGACGGTGACCAAAAAAGACAACAGGAATTTCATCTTGCTAGTCTGAAGTGCATACAAATTGTTCGTTAGTTTGCATTTTATTTAAAAGACTGTCACCACAGTCCTAGTTTGGCTGAGCTAAGGATACATCTATGCAGAGATCATAGCAAGTTTCTATAATAAATAAGTACCCTCAATGAATTTGCTGCATGCTAAGTGTGAATATGTCCAAATTTCCCATGTATCAACTGATGAATATAATTTGTCCATGTCCCTAAGCCCTAATAGAGCTATATTTGCATAAATCGGTAACATTTCTGAGGAAAGAAATTTACTTTTTTCCATCAGATCAGTAAAAGCAGTGTCTTGCAAATACTATAGGGCACATAGAGGGCAACCACATAAGGAAAAGACCGATTTTTAAAGCAAAATCTAGAATTACATACAGGAACTTAAATAACTATGTTCATCACTGGTAGCGTGTGATAGAAAATGAAATAGCTGTTGTCTACAGATATTTTTATTAGCTGCATGGCTATTGAATTAGTGTATCCTTGAAAGAAGTCAAGGAAGAATCACGGTGGAATCTTTAATGAACTTGTTGGGTCATCTTTGTATTTAGACAACGGGCTTAGTAGCAGAGGCCACATGAGAGTGTTACTCACCTCACTGATCTGTTTCTTCATTGTCTCAATATCATTTTCACGTGACTCTATTAGCTTCTTAAACTCCTCTATTCTGTAACTCAGTACAAACTTAAAATTTTGCAGTTCCTGATTTTTAATTTTTAGATCATATATATGCTTCTCCTGGAAGAAATGGGTACAAGAGATCTGAATCAGATCCAGCACTCTCAAACAGATCCTCTAGGATAAGGCACAAATATGGAAGAGGCAAAACCAGCAGTCACAGATCTTGTGGAAGATTGAACTCCAGTTGCAAATCTACTGGAGATTTGCAACCTCTATCTGGTCAGATGGGAGGGGGCAAATAATGGTGAGCCATCTACAGATCCCAGAACAGGGGATGAGAAAGTCAACATCCTGAACTTGAGCTCCCCAAGAAAAGCCTAGAATACCAATTAAAAACCAGAATCCCAAATTGGAGATCACAAGTTCCTTAAGTTGATATCGGGTTTCCAGTCATGTGATATTATCACAATGAATACTATTAAAATAAATATCTCTATTTAATTAAGGGAGGTGATTTTAACCTCATCCAACTGTTCATTTTCTCACCTTCTCTAGGATAGTTTCAGTTCTGTCTTTAATATCTGTCTTTAGTGCCAAGATGTCCTTTTCCAGTGATTTAATGATGTCTTGCAGCTTCTGCTGTTCCAGTCTCATTTCCTCAATATCCCTGTTTCGGTCCTTGAGCTCTTTCTGTAGGCTGCTCAACTAGAGAGGCAAACTAGTAAGAACTTAAAAGTCTCCAAATGCTGTGCACAACTTGGTCCTCCTATTCTGTAGGATACCTTGCAGACAGTGTGGGATAAGGGATATCAAATTAAGATATGATGAAGGAGCAGCACATCTGTTAAACGCCTCTAACTCAAAAGGGGGTTTAGTATCCATTTTTGCTTTTTCTGTGTATTCTACTGCACTAGAAGGAAGGAAGCAAATTGCATCCAGCAGCAAGAAGGGTATGGGTATTATACCTAAGTATCAGCTGCAGATAGTACTCAATCCATGGAATATTCTTATAAGGTGAAGGCAATACCGCTCTAAAGATGGAAAACTGGAAGGGTGCACGGTTCATGGCCCTTGGGCACCCACAAAATTCCTGCCTCAATACTAAGATCTGCAAAGCCAAGAAAATTGGAAACAATTTGACACTGGACAAATTGTAAGGACACATGAAGAAATCCCTGAAGTCTAAAAAACAAAGAAATCAAAGACAGTACCATGATAGTAGAGGGTATGAAAAGAACCTCTATGTCTCCAGATAGATACTGGAGAAAACAAAAAAAGAAAAAATGTCCCTCTAACATCCTTAAGGAAATGCAATACCTAGACAATAAAAGAGGCAAAATATTTTATGCCTCCTTAAAAATCCCAGTAAAGCAAATAAAGAAAGATTATGTGAGCAAAACACAGATTAGTGCATTGAATGAAGCAATAGAAGTATTTTACTAATAAAGCAAACTATTCAATGTTAGAAAAATTAAAACTTAACTTCTTTCCTGATGTAGGATGAAGAATATTATTTATAGTTTGAAACTATGTCGATCAGAGAAAGTGTACTAATAAAAACATACCTCCTTTATCATCTATCTCTAATATCAGCAATACAGTCAGCAGAGAGCTTCTTCTTCTGCCCAAATACTCTAAACATTCAAACTAACCTAAGAACCCGCTACTGTTCTTATATGAAATGCCACATATTTACAGACTAGATTAATGGACTAAATTGACATGCCGTTAATCACATTCAATCCTCAAGTTATAGGTCTTCTTGTACAGGTCTGATACTAGCATAATATAAAAGATACCCTTTTATTCATGACTCCAATTTCTCCTTTCAGTTGCATGTTGGACTCCTTTTCTTCCAAGAGCTGTCTCTCATAGTTGTCTTTGAGTTCCAAGATTTCCTTGTCTCCCTCTTCATAAATTTGTTTCTCCATTTCTTCTTGTACTTCAATCTGCTTCCTCATCTTCTCCTTTGCCTGCAGTTAAGGAAAACAAACATTAGAGAAGGCAAGAGTAAGAGACCAATAAAGGAGAGAAATAAAAGGTTATTTGTAACTGTGCTTCTCCTGGGAGAATCTATGTTTAATGGAATATTCAATTGCAGCAGTATCAGCTAAGGTAACTTTTTAGTGGATTAAAGTAACTTTAGAAACTGATAGCATACACATTGAGGGTTTTCTGGGTTTTTTTGGGGGATGGTGGGTTTTTTGCTTCTTTGGGGGGGCAGGGGTTGATAATTCTTCAGACTTGAAAGCTTCATGTTAGGAATATGGCCTAAATACTAACATCAACAAACTTGTTCTGGCTGAAGAAATCACAAACCAGTATCACTTAGGATCTTTTAAAATTGCTGTTTCTGATGCATTAGGACCAATAAGCACCCAGGTTTGCCTCAGTCTCTGTATGCCTCTCTTCCTACGTTCTTTTCAAATTGGTATTGCAACATAGGGCTGCAAACAGTAATGGTGATTTCTGACTCTAAATATGTAAGTATCAGTTATCTGTCTGCCTTTTGTCAAACCAAGTCTTTGACCTCAATGTGCAGGAGTTTTTTAAGTATTCAGGATATTTATCTTTGTTCCCCAAAGAATGCAGGTAAGAACCTCAAGGACTCAGGAATGTAATTCACCATTTTCAAAATGTTATCTCTTCACTAGAACAACATAATTGAATCTTTCTTTCTTCAATTACTGTAAATGTATCGTCTAAATCACATTAATAAACAGGAATTCTAGGATGTAGGAGAAATGTAGATGAAGCTGAGAAAGCCCAAGAATATTAATCCTAGCAACTTACTCAAGGTATGAAACCCCAAAAAGTTGATAACTCAGCTGGGTCTTCTTTATTACTATTCTACCTGTCAAAATATTTTCTCATGGTTACAGGCAGATTAGGATTTGCATGGAAGATGCCAGCCTCTCCTGTCCTAGGGAACAGTTTATCACAGTTGAAGATAAATTTGGTCAACAAATCAAACAGCAAATCAAGCTTCCTACCTCTTCTAGCAGAACAGACTTATCTTTAAGTTTTTTCTCATAATATTCTTTTAGCTCTGCCAAAGCCCTGGTTTTGCTCTCCTCCAAATTGTGCAATTGTTTCTCGTATTCCTCCTCCATCTTCTGGGATTTCACCTGAAGCTCCTGGTATTTCTCATTTTCCATTGAGAGTTTCTGACTACTGTCAGATTCTGTTAACAGGAAACATACAGAATGGAGAAAACTAATAGAAAAGATGAGTGAATCCAATCCTTCTGGAGCTATCACAACCTTATTATTTACTGTCTTTTTGGCAGCTGGTTGCAGTAAATTACAAGTAGAAGTATTTTGTCACTTTCTTCATCAGATATACAGGGGCTTTAGACTCTGTAGCCATGCAAAATTGACAACTAATTGACAACCCTAATTTAGCTATTTCCTTGGGTTGGCAACCATGGCAGAGCTGGATAAAAGCTCGACTGCTACAAAGTATGAGTAATGGAGAATGGACTCATTCATGGCAGGAGTCTTTGGTAAATACTAATTTGCAGTATTTTTATCTTGATTACAAATCTGAAGTCCAGGTATTTCCAGGCTGTGTGCACCTCCTTGCTGAATTGAATGACTGCACTGTTCTTGCACAGTGAGCTGTGCATAAAATGAAAGAAGAAATTACTAATTTTAAGAACCAAACCTCTAAGATACATGTATGGTGCAGTTTAGACAGCCATTTGGTCTGCACCAAATACCTACATGATATACATCCATTTTTCTTTATACCTCTACTCTAGTAATCCCTCCTCATCACTTCATTTGCTACCAGTAAAGCATTTCCCCCAGTTTCTAGTTACAAATACTTGTTATAGTCTAACCTAGCCGTTGCACCTCCCTGGCCTGTTTATCCATCAGCTCAGACAGTTGAACCTGGTGTTGTAGCTCCTGTTTTTCTTTCTCTTCCTGCAAAATCTGGGATAAAAAAAAATAAGAACAATACATTTTAATTTGAAACTAGACAAAGAAATGTCTAAATTGTTTGTGCTCTTGCCTCTGGTGAAGAATACATACACAACAGATAAATGTTTGAAATCTCTCACCAAAATTGAGATGCCATATGTCACTAAAACAAGGTTTCCCACATTAGTTTTCCACATTAGTTTGTTTGACAAGTTAAGCTAAGGAAAGCTACGGAAAAGCAGCAAACAGGGTTCATATAATACAAGGTACTGATCCTAATCTAAAAAGAAAAGTTTGTGAGCTACAAAAGCCTCCTTTATGTATGTCTGCTTGAGGAGAATTTGCAGTTCCATAAATTGTTGTCCAGATATTAAAGTTCAAGCTGCTTTCTGTCTCACTTAAAGCAACTTTGAGGTCCTAAAATGCTGACATTTGCATAATATGACATAAACCTAAGCACGAATGAATTTCAAATGCCATTCACTTGGAATGTCAGCCTGCCACTACAAATTACTTAATCTTCTAAAAAAGCAAAGAACTGGAACAATAAAACAGCGAAAAAATTTCCCAGAGACGCTAGGAACTCTACCATAGTTACAATATTTTCACTTCTCACAACAACTGCATGGGTCTTGCATAAGCAGAAATATTCCATTTGTCTGATGGATTCAACTAGAAAGGTTAGCCCCAAGTCTAAAGTTTTCATTCTGTTTAATCTTAACGTGTACTGATACTTGGACAGGAAGTACAACTTGCCTACCTAGAGAACTTTTATTCACTTTCAAAGGCATTTGTTTGCAAGGCTATAATGAACAAGTCTAAAGAATTTTCAGTGTAGCTGAGATTATTATAACTTTATAGCCAAGCACTACTTATCAAATGACTTGAAGAACTGCAGAAAAAAACCCAGCAGAGATTAAACAGAGGTAGAGGAATCCACAAGAATTTAAATGGATTTCTTGTGCAAGGTTAGGTTCTACAAAAGACTGGAAAAATAGAAAGGTTAAAACTCAAGTAATTTAAACAAAAAAAACAAAAACACAATGAGACAAGCCAAAGAGTCTGAAAAAATACTTTATGAAAACATTAAAATGAATTATTAAACCTCCTCAAAAATGAATATAAAAAAGCTACTACATAACTATTGTAGGGCAAACAGACAAAAGAGGTATAAAAAGAGCACTTGAAAATTGCAAACCTGTAAAATACTGCAACTAATAAGTAACTTGGCAAGCTTTCATACTCAACTCCTTTATGTGGAGTCAAATTAAATACTGCTTGAAGGGACTATGCACAACTTGACAAAATAAGTGGTAACAAATCACCAGAGCAGGACAATATTCACCCAAAAGCTCAAAAAGAACATGAGGTTGACAGGATTGATTCATGTGATATATAATCGAGTTGTTTTACTGCCAGAGAAATTACTACTGGATCCCTTGCCTTCTACATCTAAAAGAAGTCCAGAAATATAATGAATTACAGGTCAGAAATCCAGTGTGTGCACCAGACAGATGGACAGAATAGCATTATCAGACACAGATAAATAAGACACTGGGAAGAATTATCATAGCCTTTGCTTTTCATGGTAGTCCTGCTTCATGACCACAAAGAAATCAATAAGCACACAAACAGAAGACATCCAGGGAATATATTTTACTTTTATTTTCAAAAAATATACAAGAAACCTCAGCAGATGTTCTTAAAAATCTAAGTAGACAGGACATAAAGAAGGCAGCATAGGACAATAATTGTTAGATCCTGCAGCAGCTGAAACCTTATATGGAAAGGAGCTTTTAAGACACAGTGCCATTTCTATTACTGATCCTTGGCCTCAGGCACTATTTTTTGTGCTGGTTTTATGTGAAGATGCTTACAGGCTACCTAGGAGAGCTCTTGCATCCCCTTGTACCTATAAGATTCTTGACTCAAAGGTAGTTTCATGCTTTATAAATACTAAGAACATGTTAAACTGGAAAGGAATGATTTCAGATGCTGTATGGCATTTCTACATATGTAATGCAAGCTTGAATTCAACTCTTCAGTGAAAGATTTTTTAGTATTTGGTTCTGCAGCATGAATCATACCTGGTGTTTAGTTATAAGGGAGTCTATTTCCCGAGTGAAATTCTCTTCCAATGCTTTTATTTTTCCTTCACAGTACATGTCCTTGAGACGTAGCTCGTAATCACTTTCTGTCTGTAGATCTCTCACACAAATCTGCAGGTCTAGTATTGCCTGACTCTGTTAGGAACATGGATGAGAAAACAATCTTAAGAGAGAGAATATTTGCCATTAGCAACAGCTCGTTAAGGATGTTTTATTTACATGAATATATTTATGAACAGCCTTTACAGAGAATCTTCAGACAGACAACCAAGAAGTTCTAGAAGTGAAGTTCCTTTGCTGTCTTAAAAGATGGTTTATAGAAATGCATCTTCTGACTTCTCTACTCCATTAAAAGTGTTTTATTTCTCCCCAAGAGATTGGGGAAAGTATTAGAGAAAAATCTAAACCTTTCTCCACACCTTGCTGTTTGCACAATGCTGTTTGCATATTAAAAAGCCATTGCAGCAACTTGCTGTAACCTCTTTGACCAAAGCCATGCAAGCCATATAGGACTGGCTGGTAACAACCATTATGCAAATGTAAATCACAGAAATACCATGGTTTATGTTCACAAGTTTCTTCTCCTCCTACCTTCTCGTCTATATCTGATTTCATGATCAACACTTCCTCAGCATACTCAAGTTCCTGTTCTCCTTTCACTCCCCCACCTTCTTTATCATGCACTTTCCAGATAAATACACAGCCATCCTCTGAGGCAGTCAGTAGAAACTGGTCATCACTTGTTACTGTCATCTTAGAAGGAAGAGACAATAAAATAATAGATGAGACATGGAAGACTGGAGAAACAGTTTTTTATTTTACACCCCATTTTTCTCCCCACCCACATACTCTCTTCATTTCTACCCCAGAAAGTCAACAGTAGAAATTAATAACACAGTTCTACTACCAACATTTTGACTCTGTCTCTTACTCCTGTTCCACCCCAGCTGAAGCAACAAAGGGAAGGGAAAAAACATGTGTAGACACTTGATCTGCTTCTGGTCTCAAAGCCATAGGAAGATTTTTAAGAACCTGAAACAGAAAAGACCTTCTAGACAATTATAGCACAGACAGGCAGTTTATATGACAATTCTGAAGGTCTCTAGTGTTTTTCTTTTGCGAAGTTGCGTGAGCGACAGATGGCTAAATGTTTCCTTTTGAAACTACAACTAAGCTCACCAAGAACCATGTCCTAGTAAATGCTGTCACCTCCTCCAGACCTCCTGTGGCTGCCTGAGGAGCTGATACATCTTGCAACTGAGGTGAAAGTAGAGTTACAGTAACTGAAGTTCATATTCTAATGTTGGACTGTGCAGGGATATATCAAGGTGCTGCATTTGACAGTGATAATTAAAACACAAAAATTATGGCTAGTCTTAACAACACAGAACATGTGGCTTCCTGGAGAATGGGGACCTAACAAAGCACACTGAGGGATCTGTCAGACGTGCTCTCTGAGCTCTTTCAGTATTTGGCAGCAATACTGGCTCAGCAGAGAAGTCTCAGCTGTCTGGAAATGGGCAAATGTGATGCCCCTCTGCAATTGAAAGTGGTGCAGTCATCATCCCTGGAGATATTTAAGAGATGTGTAGATGTGGTGCTTGAGGACATGATTTACTGTGGACTTGGCAGTGCTGGGTTAACAGTTACACCTGATCACCTAAAAGCTCTTTTCCAACCTAAATAATTCTATGACAAAATTACCTTCCTCTTTCCAGAAGGAGCTGTATCAAAGTTCTCCATCTAATGTGCCATGTTTTGTAATCTGGTGCAAGCCACTTTTTAGCCAGCAGCTTACTCCCTGACATATTTAGAGACAGGATTCCTATGAATGCTGCAATATTCATTCTCCATGTGCAGACTCAGCCTTAGTTTTAACATATTTTGCTATGAATTGAGAAGGAGAATCAGCCCTAAAGGAGCTTTGTGCAGCTGGCACCACAGGGAAAAGAAAAAAACTCTGTGCTACCTTTGTAACAGCACCTGCATGGGCCTGGTACTCAGTGAAATCCTTCTTCAGAGTTAATGGGTACTTCATAGCTCGAATTGTCCCCAGGGATGTACCAACAAATATCAAGCGCCCGGAACGAGAGACAGCGACAGTCGTATAAACAACACCATAAGCAGGTACTTCATGCTGGATCTAAAACATAAACCAACAGCACAAACCACCACACAAAACCCTCACATTAAGTATTTGATTGTGCATTGCACAAGCAATTGTTAGATCTCTGCCTGCAGCATGTAAAGTTATAGTTAAAAGAACCTATATGCCTATAGAATTAAAGTATTTAGCATTAAGTTTTATACCTCAAAAAAAAATTATTTAAAAGTGAAGTTCTAAATATTTATAAATGTTAATAAATATTTAGATATAAAATTCCTGAATTTCTTGTAGTTACCATTATTAAAAATTCAAGCCAAACTGATGTGTGATCTAGAAGATGTAATGGTTATCACATACAATTTACTACTTTTCTGGAAAAAATTGCATGTAGATACAAGTGGTAGATGTTTGTATTTCAGCAGAACAATATTGCCTAGTTAGTTTGTTAGCTGGATGAGAAGATTTCTAGATAAATCCAAGTAAAATTATAAAAATATAAAACTACAACAAAATCTCAGGTTTCATTGTAAAGGACATAAGAACACAAAAGTGTCAATAATATCACAGCTTTCAAAACAAGACTGATTCCTATTTACCAAATGGATGCTAAGGAAAGCAAAGCACCAGTACTGTCCCCAGAGAATTTAGCAAAATCCTAATATTTGTTAGCTCACCGAAGACTCTGAAATTTCTTTGAGAGTTTGGTCAGATCCAACAGCAAAGATAATTTTGGCATCATAAGTCAGGGAAATGCTGCTGTAGATGCAGGTCTTGAGCACACACTCTGACACCTTTTTACCTGTCAACAAATTCCACTCATACACAGCACCATGTGTGTCACAGGAGACAAATTTAGTGTCATCTGCACTCCATTTAATTGCATGTACCTGGCAAAAGCAAAACACACCAAGGAGCTTGATGTGTAGATTACAGACATACAGCATGGAGTCATTGCACTGGTAAAGGCATGACAACTTCAGAATGATACTTCAAAGTCTTACTGAGAAACCTCTAGATGTTCCTCAACCAATTCTATTTTAGCATTAGAAAAAACCAAAACCAGTAAGAATTACTTTATGAACACACTTTCAGGAAAAAGTTCATCTCAATATGGAGTAATTTTAATTTTATAATCTATTACTGGGATATTTTATTTTGTTCAGCCAGCTGCCAGTTGTTCACCTCCAATTTAAGGACAGACTTTTCAGATGTATCTAGTGCATGAGAATTTTGCCTTCTAACCAATGAAAATGGAGTTTTCTATTTCTGTTTTCACTTTTTGGACCCATCTAAAGATCCAAAATTGTATTTTACCTCTTCAAAATGCATCTTATCAACTAGTTAATACATTAATAAGTTGTACTGTATAAGATTTGTTTACTAACCTTCCCAGTATGTCCTTTCAGATTAGTAATATTCTCAAAGGTGATGCTGGAATAAATTTGAATCACATTCCCATTAACTGCAGCAAAAAGATGGCCTCCGTTACTGAATGAGCACTACAAAAAGAACATAACCACCCATTACTGTAGATGGAATGGATAAAAACATCCATGTATTGAATTTCAATTGCATCCTTTAATATCAAATTGTTGCATGAAAAGAAAACTCCATGACATAATTAGCCACTTACAGTTTTCTTAATCAATGCTTTCCCCTTTCCCCTGTAAAATTCAGTTCTGGAGTATTTCTGAGCAAATTATCCATTCTGCTGCTTCCCATCAGCCTCTGGGCCTATTCTCCAATAGTTAGAATCAATTTCTCTAAGCTTTGATATATGACATCCTATATCCTACTAGGATGTATTGGAGAAGTTTTTATTTTCTGTCATGTTCTTTACCACTCTGCTCCCCATAACTCCCCAGTTTCATTTTTGCACCACTCCTTACCTCTCTACACTTTTTCACAGGAAACTCCTTGAAAACATTCATGTCCTCATACAGCAGACTTACAAATCGTAGTTTGTCAGAAAACCCAACCAAACAGAAAAGGCCAGTGGGATGAAGTGATACTGTGTGTGCTTCCTCCTGATATTCCTTACATAGCTCCAAATTGCTGAAAGAGAAAACTGTTGAGCAGTATGGAATAGGACAAACTCCCCATCGCACACTTGACGGGATATTATCTGGCCCAGCAAGGACACCTGCAGCTAAAAAACCTAACTCTGCCTTGTCCTTGAGGAAGTGTTTTGTTATTCAGTTAAGTAATGATCACAGAGATGTTAAAGGAAACAAAAGCAAATTTGACTTTCTGGTTCACAGAGAAGGTGTGGAAGGTGCAAGAGCAAATCCTTGTGTACTGTAATATAATGATTAAGGTAAATGAATTGCTGATCGCAATCCTACACAAACATCTCTTGAGATTTGTTTTTGCCTCCAGGGAACCTCAAGAGCTGGAGTAATTTTGCTTAAGAACTACGCCTAAGAAGCAGGATGTGGGATAACAGTATCTTAAGACAAAGCTGAATGAAAGAGTTTTTTCCAAAACACAAGAAGTTTGACACCAAAATAGCTTAATAGAAAAGACATTGTATTCTTTTGGCACCAGTTTTAAAGGCACTGCATACTCAAACTCCCCAAATATGTAAGTAATACCATTTACATCACACACCACACAAGAATTTTACCACAACAGCACTCTCATTCATATGAGATTGCTGCTGCTGTCTCCTAAACACAATATACAAAAAAGCAATAACAAATACAAACAGCTCATTACTTTGTCTTGTAATTCCAGATGCGAACAGATCTATCCAGGGAACACGTAGCAAGAATGGGTTTCCAAATACACATGTCCAGACCAGTGATTGAATTAGAATGCAATGGGAAATTCATATATGCAAAATGAGATGTCTTCTCCTGAGAAGGAATGAGAACATTAAGAAATCACAAATATTTCATTGCAGGCAGTAAGTCAGATAAAAATAATCTATCATGGGTCTTTGGATACAGTTGTAGAATAGATTTGAGGGAACCACTTAATTCTTTTGCTGCACTGGTCTGAACATAACAATGTTAAAAACCTGACAATGATGGTTTTAAATTTTTAATTAATAATCAAGAAAGTGGTGCAGGGCAGAGCAGTGAGAATAGAACGTAATTGTAGGTATATAAAAAAGGCAAGTTAGATAAATAAATAAAACTGGACCTGCAAGAATTCAGTTAATACCTTCTGGTCATGTAGATATTAAAAAAAAGTCAAGTTTTTATAAATAAAATCAAAGTCAAGCTTCTCTGAGGGCAGTATTTCTGTAGCCCCTAACTACATCCCCTCTTCCTGTAAAGATCTTTCTGTATGTCTGTAGACAGGTTAGGTACTATATTCCATGTAAGTCTATTTCATGATAATTCAGAGTAGGGAAGGTTTTTCATTATGTTTGTATTTCACAAAAAGTTTTCACTTCTAGCTAGGACTTCAACAACTGTCTCGGAGTCAAATGAGTTTCCCATGGCTGTTCCAGCTTTATCATTGCAATAAAGTTTTTGCATATTACAGTGGAACACGGACCACACAGTTACATGGAGGATATCCCAGTTAAAGCCTCAGTGAAGTGGTTCAGCAGTAACAGGCACCCCTAAATGGTCTTAAGAGTCCTCTATGATTCTTCTGATTAGCATCAGGTATTCACAGGGAGGGATGCTTGGAGCAAGGGGCTGCAGAAATACTGCCCTCAGAGAGGCACAACAAGCACTTTGTATCTTGAGCTTTAAGGGTTCATTTGAAGGATTTAATGAGAATGCATCATAGAAAACAACACTGATTAGCCTGTATCATTACAATACTGGACATGAAAGCTGTTGAATGGCACCGAACTGCACTTACCCTTATAAGTTTGGTGGAGAACATAGAAAACATGTAGAGCTGATTTTTATTTGTGCTAACGACCATCATTTCCTCAGAGGGGCTGAAGCATATACATGTGATGTCCTGTCTGCATGACTTTTTTGGCTCGGTGCTGAACAGGTCCTGAGGAAGCTGCACAAGAAAGGCATCCCATGGGTTGTGCCAGGTTTCCATGTTTTGGTAGTAGGCATGCACACACAAACTTTTGTTGTAATGCTTCTCTAACAAGCACGTACATAATATCAGCAGGACAATTTGGATATTCAATAGCACATAACTACTACAAGGCAGGAGAATAGAGTACAAGAGGACAACCCAATGGTATCTGTAACATTACAGCTGAAATAAAGTATCACGGGAGATTTCAGTAATCTGAAGTACTGCACTAAACAAGAATTAAAATGGTAGTAGAAAAATATCAAGCAAAAAACTAGCAAGTGTCAGAATGCGAATTGCTTAAAAATTTCGATTTCAGAAAAACAGTCTTTGTAATGTATTACTGAGGTAGTTAAGTCTTATTATAGGGTCTCATGCATAGGGAAGATCTGACCTTTTAGAATGAGAGTATGAAGTCTTGACCAGCTCATTAGAGTTAAATGTTCTTATCCAGAGATTTCAGTAGGTCAATGCAAACAGTTTGCTATAGAACAGTTAGAAGGATTATTTAAGAATGCACAGGTCTTATGACAGCTCTAATAAATACCTGAGGGAAAAAAGCTTCTACTTGGAAAAAAGCAATCAGCCAAGTTTTCAATGAAGTAAACTACCTCTTAGTCCCAAAAGTCTCCACAAAGAAAAGTTTCTTAAAGGCTTTTTTGAAGTTTAGCAGCCTCAAAGCACATTTTATATTTGGGGAGCATACAAAACTATCTTGCAAAAGGTCATCAGGCATTGACTTTCAGTGTAACCTTTGGCAACTCCTTTTGACATCACCAGTTAGCTAATCCTTACAATGCAATTTAGCAGTATGCTAAAAATTATTATTAATAACTGAATCAGGAACACTCACAGTTCTCTAAACAGGGCTCTGCTGCATAATTGCTTATAAAAGCTTTTTTCCTCCTTACCCAGACTTCTTGACTCTCCTCATAGACTTCCTTTTCCTTCGTCTTCTCAAACAGAAGAACAACTCCTGGGCTGGGTGAACATGCAAAGCCTTTGGAATATGCTGCAACTGCAGATATTTGAGGCAAAGAATGCTGTTGTAAACCATTATCTTCAAAGGCCAGTCCACTAGAAACACCAGAAAAGCAATTAGGAAATGCAAAAAGACTTAAAAATAAAGAAGAACAAAACAAAAAATGCTAAGCAGCAATCGATATGATAAACCAGACAAGAAGGAAGTAACTAATCTGCAGGCAAAAGCATTGAACTATTACTAATAATAGTAAACAGATGTACCTCTCATATTCTTTTGTTGTTGTATCTCCTAGTTCCCTGGGTGGTTTTCTGTACTCCAAACATTTCTCCCAGTGCAGCTCTCCAGTTTCAAACAAGCTAAGTTTGCCTGTGTCAGTGCCACATATAACTTCCTCCTCAGACAGCCAGGCATGGCACAAGTAGTTTTCTGGCTCTCTCCTTTGTAAATTCATCTGCTTTAAATATCCTTCACTGTATTTGAAAAGTTTAAAAAAGCCATTTCCAGTGATACAAACCTGCGTATTGTCTTGAGGATTAAAGCTCACCTATGGAACAAAAAAGAGAGGAGGTATTTTTTTCAACTATGTTCACAAACAAGTAAATATTATACCTGTTCTGAAGAGTTCCTATACCAGATACAGGAAAACAAACAAAGACAGTTCATAGAAACATACAGGAATACCAAAGAGAGTAAGAATTAGCCACCATAACTACATACTGCAGTTTTCCCCCTTTCAAAAGCATGTCTATCAAAATTAAATCACAAAAGTAAGGCCAGAATACCTCTTTACTACTGATTAACAATTTTTTCCAGTAGCAAGCCTCCTGAAAAGTGGGACCATTTGTTCTCAAAAGTCCAGGAATAAGTTCTGTATTCCTGTATTTCATGCAAACAGTATGCAGATGAATTCACATAATTAGGTGTTTATTTGTGAAAATTATGGAATGGCCATCTCAATAGTCAGCATGAAGGATAGGAGGGGTAGTTTGAAGTAATTTTTTGTGCTTAATGGGACTTCAGACAGCCAGAGTCTTTACACTCCCCCCTCTCTTTAGGAACTGAGCTCATAGATTCAGTAGTCCAGCCAACCTCTTCTTGTAGCTGTACCTCACAAAAAATGGCAGCTGGAGTTCAACCAACACATGTACTGAAAGTATCCCTGCATGAAAGAATCTAAAAAGGGCACCCAAACCTGGATGCAAAAATCATTTGTGTGCCATCAAACCCGCTCCTAGCCACTCTTCTCCAATCTGAACTCAGAAGACTTCAGAAAGGAAAAGGTGCACTGAGAGCTTCCAAGCGTGTTACAACTACTGAGCACAGCCCACATATTTAGTGTGTGCTTTTGCAGGGAGACAAGGGACGCATTGCACACTCACTGGCCTGTTGTACTGGCCCCACAACATAGATCTCATGTGATACAACAGATACAGGCATGAAAATGTCCATTATGGGTCAGTGCAAAACCTTATTTAGCCTAGCGTCCTGCTGCCGAGCGAGGCCAACAGCAGATGTCAAGAAAGGTCAGAGAAACTGTATGAAATACACAGTGTGGAGCCCTCTCCTCCTCTTGCCGTGGATAAAAGCCATGTGGCCATGGGAAAATGCACTGTGCACATGTGCTGAAGGATGAACGCACGTCCAACCTCGCACCTGCTACTTGTTGAACTAAAGTTTGATCGTTTCGTCCACTTTTTGAAAAGTGAAGTATGCTCTCGAAGAACCAGTCAGCTGCGAACGAGAGTGTTACTAACGAGCCGCAGAGAGTGCCGCAGCTCGGGTTTGCAAGTTTTGAAGCAGGCGGAGCTGGAGCTGTTACCTGGCAGGGACCGTCGCCCGCGGCCTGGACGCGGACGGTCGCCGCCAGCTGCTGCTTCTCCCAGAGCCAGCAGGTGAGGTGCCCCTCGGGGGGGGCCGTGGCGGCCGCCAGGAACCGGCTGTCGGGAGAGAAGGCGAGGGACACCGCCTGCCGCGCCGGCAGCTCCTCGGCGGCCAGCACCCTCCGCCGCTGCGCCCGCTCCGCCGTCAGCTCATAGACCGCCAGCACCGGCTGCTCCCCCGCCGCCTCCGACAGCGCCAGGAACCGCCGGTTGGGGCTGACGGCCAGCGCCTGCACGCCCCGGCTCTTCTCCGTGCCTGCGGGGAGCACAGCGGTCAGGGCGGGCCGGAGTGGGGACCGGGGTGAGGGTCGGGACCGGGGTCGGTGCCACCTGGGATGAAGTTGTGCCACTTGTGCTCGAGGTGCAGCCGCAGGCAGCCCGCTCCCGCGGCGTGCAGCACCACCTGCTCCTCTAGGAAGCAGACACCGCCGGCCACCCGCGGCCGGCAGCCGAACACGGCCACGGGCAGCACGGCCGCCCCCGCCATGCTGCCGCTGCCGCTGTCGCCGTGGTGACCGCGGCCCCGGCGGCCCCGGAAGCGGCGGCGCACGCGGCCGGAAGCGGCGGCGGCGATGGCGATGGCGGTGGCGCGGCGTGGGTCCTTCTCGGACTCCAGCTCGGACTCGGAGGATTCCTCGCTCTCGGACTCGGAGGTGAGCCCGTGGCCGCGGTGGCGAGGCCGGTGAGGAAAGGCCGCCCGGTGCCGGCGGCGCGGACTGACCGAACTCTCCTCACAGCTCCAAGAGGCCTTCGCTAGGGGCGCGCTGAAGCCGGGGCTCAACGTGGTGCTGGAGGAGCGGCCGAAGCGGCGCAATGACACGGTGAGTGGCGAATGCGGGGGCCGGGGAAACCCCGGGCCAGACTCGCGGCCCCAGCGCTGGGTGCAGGGCCAGGAGGCACGGCGGAGCCGCGGGGGTCGGGGCCGGGAGGGCTGCGGTGCTCCGCGCTGCCGGCGGGGTTCGGCTGGGTCCCCGAGGGGCAGCCCGCGGTGTGACTCGGACACTGGCCGGGCCAGCCGTGCGGATCAGTCCGTGCTGAGCTGTGCTGAGCTGTGCTCCTTTCACAGGACGGCCTGAAGCAGTGCCTGGCCGAATTCAGGAAGCAGCTCGCATGGGTGGAAAGGCTGGACGTGACTCTGGGCCCGGTCGCGGACCCCGTTTCTCAGAGCGCTTCTACGTCTGATGCCGTTGACCCTGAGAATGATTTCCAGAGAGAGATGAGTTTGTAAGTGTCAAAAAGAGATTTCATGTAGTGTCCCAGTGTGTTGCTGCATTTTTGGAGTTATGTTTCACCACTGTGCTACAGACTGCTATGCTGGCGGTCACTGTGGTATTCTTGGGCCATGTTATTTTACGTTTGATGGCTGTGAATGTTTTCCAAAATAACTACAAATTAGTGATAGTATATTTAACTGCTGTGTCACTGAAAATAAATAATTTTCCTCTTCACAGCAGACTTCATTCTTTGCTGAGAAGTTTATTTTAAAAGCTCCCTGACAGCAGGACTAACGCTTTAACACAAGATACAGATTTTAGTTTGTGGCTTTGTTGTGGTGCTCTTACATTTCTCTTGTTTTGCTTTGCCTTTTATATTCTAATATAAAAAAAAACTATAAGTGGAAATAAGATAAATGTATATGTGCAAGATGTAAAGATTAATACTGTACTGGCACCTAAGCTGCTTTCAGTAGCACTGGATGTGCACAGAATGTTGATATAATTGATATAATTCCAGACCAATGCTGGCTAGATCCCTATATCAGCCTGATTGGGTGAGCAGTTTGTGTCAGCACTGTGAGGTGCCCGATGCGCAGTGACAGGGCTGGTGCCGTGCCAGCTGGTGTGTGGTGGCAGGGCTGGTGACAGCTGGTGCAGTGGCAGTGCTGGTGCAGTGGCAGTGCTGGTGCAGTGGCAGGGCTGGTGCAGTGCCAGCTGATGTGGTGGCAGGGCTGGTGACAGCTGGTGCTGTGCTCTCTCCCAGCTACCGGCAGGCACAGGCAGCTGTCCTGGAAGCCCTCCCTAGGCTGCGTAAGCTCCAGGTTCCTACGAGGAGGCCAGATGATTACTTTGCAGAGATGGCCAAATCAGACCAACAGATGCAGAAGGTATGTGCAATGAATGTCTTTCTTTCCTGTGTAATGAGTGTGTTTTAGCCTGTGGTAGGGATTAAATTTAAGGTGATGTGTGAGTACTGACCTTCATCTCTTTTCCGATTCCTGTGACAATGATTCGGTTAGAAACTGTGACAGAAGATTTCTTTTTGTTTAGGTATTTTGATGTAATATGGGGATTTTTATACCAGGTTGGATGATAAAGTAGAAAAGCATGACTTATGCTTTGTCCTGAATGTGTTTAATATTAAAAAGGGAGAATTTTTCTTAATATGTGTAACAGTGGATGTAAAGTTGCCTATGTTTTTGCTCTTTGTCATAAAACTGTGGTTTTAATGCAATCCTTCTTTTCCTATTTAGGTATCACCTTTTGTTTATTGTTAGTTTGTTCTGATTTTCTATGATTTTAAACCATATGTTATTGAATGACTCTGTTTTGGATAGAAAATTAGATTGGTGTAGGAAGACTTTCACACATTCCCTTCTTGACAGTAGTATTCATTCAAAATGGAACTCTATTTTTTTATTTATATTTGGAAAAAAGACTACCTTGTATAAATTAAACAAACATGAGCTGGAGTCTAGTTTGAAGGTTCGTTTATCATTGAGTCACTTTTTTGCTTTCTGATGGAACCTTTCTAGATAAGATGAAGAATGATAATTAGCTCATACTAAACCTTAAGTCAATCCTGCACATTACTATTCTGTTCTTTTGCTGCTTCCATTTGAAACGGTTTTTATCTCCTATTGCAGTCACTAGACTGAATCATGAAGATCCATGTTGAAATCTTTGTGATTTTTCATAAGGCAGCATCCTTATAAAAATGTTTGTGAGCAAGGAGGGAACAGAAAACATGTTTTTTATAGGATTGTTGATTTTTCTTCAGTGCTTTACTTTTAAAAATGACAAGAAAGAAACTATTAAGTCTTCTTTATACACCCAGATAGATGGACAAGGTTCTCTCAGTTCCATTAGAGCCCATTGTAAGGCTTTGTCTTCTCTCTTGTGTGAATTTTGTCTTTTTGGGCAGATTTTGGCTATAGATAAGTTCAGGAATTTATGTAATAATTGTTCCTTGAGCTGAAAGGATGGTATGCCTTATAGGCATTATCTGATTGAGAGATGTTTTCTTTTTTACACTCACAGATAGTTCACAAATATTCACTTCAGGACTGTACAGAAATTATAAAATTATCTTTTTTTCTTTTGTGGTACTGATTTTGTTTTTTCTATTCCCTAATTAGATTCGACAGAAACTTAAGACTAAACAGGAAGCAATGGAAAGGTCTGAGAAAGCAAAACAACTCCGTGCAATGAGAAAATATGGCAAGAAGGTGAGGAGCTACAAAAGGGACATGTGCAAAAGGGTTTGGGACAAGAATTTAGAGCCTGAGAGAGGAGCTGGAAAAGTGAGACCATGGGAGTCTGACTAGAACACACAGAATGTCTAGTCTTCTGGC